ACCCCATGTTCATCTGTACAGGTGTTAGTTCAAGAATCCTCACTTCCCACTTTTCATCTAACCTTTGGTATTGCTGCAGAATACTTAACCTCCTGATACACAAGCTTTTCCTTAGTATGCATTTTTTTATTTCTTCTAGCTATTTTGGATTAGCAGGACCCAATTAGATTTTTCTTGAAAACAAAGCATTGTCTCTGAGCAGTAAGTAGTTTTGGGAAAAAAAGGGTATGGGATTGATGGGTTTATTTTTAATAGTTACAATTAAAATATAAAGCAGTATATTTCAATGCCTGAATATTGTAATGCAAAAAGAAAATTGCAAACACTGCAACATTTGTTCAATGTTTTGTAACTCTTAAGGCTAGAGGACACTGATCAAGTCTTAAACTGCTCAAAACTGTTGTTTCCAGTGCCTGAACATGGCTGTGCAAAAGCCAAGTCGTAATTAATACAATAATAAAGACCCAATGTCCTTTAAAAAGTACTTGCTAGTTGACAGCATTTTAACTTTTTCTACTATTGCTAAAATTCATCAAATGTTTATGCCATTTCAAACTACAATTGTTATAAAAGCAAAAAAAAGTTTCAACCTTAAAATCCAATCAGTTTTTGTGCTTTTTCCAATTATGTGTGGATCAACTGTAGGCTGTGACTTGGCAGAGATGGCTGCCATCTTGTTTTTACATAGATTAGTGTATTGTGCTCTTGCTACTAATAGATGGCATAAAAAGTGTCCACAGATGAGGACAACAGGTCTACATTAAGCAAAAATGAATTATATGGTGCAGCAAACTCCAAATGTAATGTCCTCATATGAGGATGCAGGGTCGCAGGAGGTTAACAATTAAACAGGACTAATTATGTACAATTTGGATATTTAATTTGGAATATATATCAGATTAATTATTTGGAGTTATTTCATGCTGGTCATACCAACCTGCACAAGGGTGAAGGCTGAGATAGCTGTAATTAAGAGATGACAGAAAATAAGGGAGAGCAATAAGGTTCCCAGCTGGACTCCAACCAGGGATATTATATGTCATGGTCGGCATCTTAACTTACACCCTGTGACTTTGTACATAAAACAGTTTAGTGTAACCAGATTGCAAGAAGACATAACCACTTAGTTTACTGTCATTGTCAGTTATTTACAGAACATTACTACAGCTGTCATGGAATGGAATTTAGTTTTCATCACTCATATAAAGAAAAAGTGCTGATTATCCGCACTTGAATCATGAGCACACCACAAGACTGGGAGAATAGCTGTGCATCACACAATGCAGAGTATTTCTGAGATCATCTTTCCACTGGAGCTATGCATCATCAGTGCATCATTGCTAACTGCAGACTCTGTCTCTGTCTCTCAGGTGTCCACATTCTCCAGACGAATAGTGGTTGTGAATGGGATGACGAGACTGGAGAGGTTAATGCTTTTACTCAGTTTGGTTATGATGGAGAAGACTTAATATCATTCGACCTGAAGACACTGACATGGGTCACACCAAAACCACAGGCTTTCAACATCAAAATGAGATGGGACGCTGACAAAACTAGAATTCAAAACACTGAATACCAACTCACGCAGGCTTTCCCTGAGTGGCTGAAGATGTATCTGGCCTACAGCAACAGCTCTCTGCTGAGAACAGGTAGAGTCACATGACCTGATGTACTGTAGTTTCATGGACACAAAGATGTTCTTACATTGTTTTATTACTCCACTGACATGACCTTCTCAGATTCTGTCTCTGATTGTCGTGAGTTTTTTCAGTGGTAGTGTAGTTCCCTTCTCTGTCTATATACAGACAATGATGAGGTTGTGTAGTCAATGGGTTGTTATGCAGCACTGTCATATGTTCTTATAGCTCATAAGATGGGTGTATGGGCATGTGGCATATTCCTCTGAGAGAAAAGGTGGTAGATAATTTTGATGCACACAGTTGAGGCATACAGGGACAGTTCAATGATATTATGGCAATTTATATTCAAGCTTACTGACAGGGACAGGAATCATCAGGCAGACAAGGGTCAGAACTAGAGAGGTAGTCGAAACAGGCAAACAACTCCAAAGGTACAGGCAAGAAATACAAAGTCAGGCAGAGGGTCAGGCAGGCAAGACGTTTACAAGATCCAGATTCAGGTTTCACATTATAGATAACAGGTTACAGAATACAGGGGCGAGAAAGCAAAGGTAAAAAAGTACATACCAACTTGGCAGGGAGTGAATGGAAAAGGGCTGATTAAAGCTCCAGTAGGCAACATTGTTTTGGTATAATTGAGTAAAAATTTTATAATATCCTCTAAGCATAATGTAAACCAAGTGGTCTGAGACAAACAATAGGTTTCTGCACCTCACCATGGCTCTGTGTTCAGCCTCTAAAGAATCAGTATCGTGCCGATGTGCATCAAACCAATCAAAGGTCAACTCAGACCACTGCGTTCCTATTGGCTATTCTACTGCATATGCGCGCTCCCGTGCCGCCGGCAGAAGGGGAGAGCAAGCGGCAATGGCGAACAGCGCACCAAGTAAAATAGCTATTCCAGCACAGCAACTGCCTACACGGCTAAACAACCCAAAAAAAGGAAGATAGAACTCGGTTCCCCGGAGCCCCGGAGGGAGGGGAAGGGTGAGGTGGGGCTGGGTCCGGCCGGAGGGCGCGAGGGTCAGCTGTGGGAGCGGAGCCGAGGGCTCTCCGTGGAGAGGGAGAGCCAAGCCTCGCGGGTATATGTGCAGGTCCGCGAGGGAAGGATGGGGAGGGCTGCTGCGAGGTGAGGGAGAGCCGAGGCTCCCAGAGAGGGAGAAAGAGAACCAAGTAGGATAAAATACTCGCATGCTCTTCTGGTAGGAGGGGCTCAGGGCGGAGACAAACGAAACCTAACTCAGATGAGACTCAAAAATCAACCGTCTTCAGGCTTTCTACCTACTGCAGCTTTAAGGGCAGATGAGGAAATTGTAAAAAGGAGGGACAGTCTGAGGTCATGTGGTGGAAGAATGAAAAAATGCAATTAAGGAACGTTGTAATGGGGAATGTGGCTGGAGAGGAGGGACAGAGAGAAAGATAAGACCATCATTGTGTTCAAATAGCTGTTTATTCAATATTTTGGTTTATGATCAAATACCTGCAAAACTAATGGCATTCACATCAGCCTTAGCTGTATTCTCCTTTCTCATCTTTCTCTATCCCCTCTCCATCTCTTGCTCCCTCTCCCTCCATTGTCTCTCTGTCTCCTCAGAGCCCTCAGTGTTTCTCCTCCAGAAGACGCCCTCCTCTCCAGTCAGCTGCCACGCTATAGGTTTCTTCCCTGACAGAGCCATGATGTTCTGGAGGAAAGATGGAGAGGAGATTCATGAAGATGTGGAACATGGAGAGATTCTCCCCAACCATGATGGTACCTTCCAGATGAGTGTTGACCTGGACCTTTCATCAGTCACACGTGAAGACTGGTGGAGGTACGACTGTGTGTTTCATCTCTCTGGTGTAAAGGACAACATTGTTACCAGACTGGATGAAGCAGTGATCAGGACCAACAGGGGTAAGAATGAGACCAGAGGGTGCTGATGGGGACTGCATGTCTGTGGTTTGCTTTAGCTTTTGTCCTCCAATGAAGCTGGAATAAACCAATGAAATCATTTAACTAAGCCCAACATATGTCGCTGATAAAACACTGGACGTACCTCTGTTCTAACCTGCTTTATCTGTATCGGCCTAAAATATGTAAAATATTTTTTTGGTCCACAGAGAGGCCCAGTAACATGACCGTCCCCATCATTGCTGCAATGGTTGCTCTTGCTCTCTTCCTTGTCGCTGCCTTTGGATTCATGGCTTACAAAAAGAAGAAAGGTGAGACTGAAAATGAAATGATCACCTGCTCAATTGACTTTTTTAATGCTTTGATTGTAGTCTTTGAATTGATGTTTTTATTCAGATTATATTCATTTGAAATGAGCATCAGTTCCCTGCACCCCACAATTTGAAGCAACCTACAGTAAGCACTGTAAGGCTCAGAGCCTGTGAGTCATGATAATATATCACTATGATGTAGGAGAGAAGGGATAGGAAAAGTAGTAAGGACTAAACAGAAGGGTAGAATGACTTGATTTTTCTGTCTGAGTGAGTAGAAGCGGGGATCATATTAACTAGGGATGAGATGATGAAAGATGGCATCTACAACAGTGACTGAAATAATGATGATGGTCTGTTTTGATTTCAGCCAAAGGCCCTCCATCTCGTAAGTAAATCTTACAGACTTAACACTGTAGATTGATAAGTGGTTCAAATATTGTGCAGATGAACTTTTTAGGACTGTGAGTGGACTCTATGCAGTTTCACACAAACTGTTTGTTTCTGACCTTACAGCTCCTGACAACGCCCCTGAGGTCTCTGAGAAACTGAATCCAGCCAACTGATTGACAAACGCACTCACTGAGTTTCCTCATATGGGATGAAGAAAGTAAACTCTTTGACATGTGCCATGTTAAATAACATTACATAACATAAGTGAAGTATTAGTCATGATTTGTGTGCTTGATATGTTTGTGCAAGTTTTTTTGACAGATGCAATAAGCACCCAGGTGTCCATAGCCAACAACGTTTTTGCACCCAGGGTTGAAAGGCTATTGTGGCTGTTTACATTACAGTGTTCTGGGCATTCGAGCAACATCGGAATATGACATTAACATGAATGGGTCTAATCAGCTTTTCTGGTAAGATTTATGTTGGCTGCCCCCTTAAAGTCAGAGAATCAAACTATTAGTCGGAGACTCCTCAGTCGACTGAAATTCTTCAAGTGGAGCAGTAGTTTTTCTCTTTTTTTTTTTTGGTTGTTTGTTTTTTTGGTCAGGTTGTTTGCAGTGTTCCTCAGAGGGTGTTTTGGTCCCCAGATGTGGCTGTAGAGTGAGCGCTCCTAGCTTTTACACTGCTCTACACTACATGCATTTGCGAATCCTACGATGGAGAAGCAATGACCCGCCTTACTCTGCCTCTGACTGGCTTACCTTGAATCAACCAATCCCACTCCTCTTGCCTAAGGCAAGGGTCATTCCTTCACCATCCTAGGATTCGCAAATCTGCCTCCGATACAGGCAGCTGTGGACCCACACCCAGGGTGGGTCTGAGTGAAAATACGTGAAATGACCACGACCTCTTAACAACGCATTCCGTGGTGGCACCACGTAATGGGTTGAAATTACGTGCTGCCACCAAGAAAACAATGCCACTGTAAAGTCAATTAGGATCCTCTCCCGTGGTGGACACACGGATTCCCTGATTCAATTACGTCACGTCAACCTCGTTTTCCTCAGTGATATCTTTAACATTCCTGTATACACACAAAAAAACGCGGAAGTGTTCTTGATAACTCAGCAATATGACAGGTTAATGTCAAGGCCATAAAATAAAATAAATGTATTTTGCCAGCTTTTGATAGCGTGGGGCTTTAAGAGCATTGTGCTGTGGGCGGATGGGGTGCGTTCCACTACTGTTTTGTAGCTGCTGTCTGCCGTCTGTGGGCTTCATTCCATTTCAGATTGCCATCCGTCTGCCGTAACCGAATCCAAATGCCACTAATAAATAAATAAATAAGAAGATAAAAATAAGGCTGAGCACGGAAGAACCAGAGAGGAAACACCATCACATGGAGCCGTCTGCCCCTGGCAACCCGGCCACCCTCCACTCCACCAGGGGAGAGTGGACCCCAAGCCAGCGCCACAGAACGGCTGCCCCGCTGGTTATACCTCCGACCGTGGCAGCTGTCACACAAACCGCTGC